ACACACACACACACTCTCTCACTAACACACACTCTCACTCTCTCTCACGCGCACACACATCATCATCATCCATTAGCAATAAGAAACTAAATGTAGGGCCCTATGAAATCCGTTTTATTTTTTCCCAATTTCTGTTATATTTTTTTTCTGGATTCTGTTTTTTCCCCTTTTTTTTAATTTGTAATTTTTTTTTTCTGGACTTTTTTTTTAAATGGTTAAATGATATTTTATTAGTCAAAAAGCATGTCTAATTGATTCAAATCATTAAACTTTTCACATCAATTTATTAAAAGTTTAACAATTATGGCATGTTTAGGGTCCTATGAAATGTTCTGTTTTTTCTCACCATATGTTTTATCGTTACCAAATTCTGTGTTTTAACATGTCTAATTATTAGAATGCATAAAAACAACTTGATTTATTCAAATTGATTCTTACAATAGCCTTATGATTTTTTTTCCTCAGAAATGATGGGTTGTGTATTTAACATTTTCTGGTTATCAGAAAAATTAAACAAACTTTATATTTTTTGGCAAGCAACAGGGATTTACTATTAAAATTAAAACATGGAAGAAATGTTTTGTGATTATTCCTTACAAATAAAGTTGTAATGAACAATAGTAGGCTAATATATTGCTGGCACAATGTCTTCAACTTAAACCGAACTTTTATTTTGACGGGTTGCACAGTGATTGATCCAAATAAAATGATTGGATGGCAAACAGTCCGTTCAATAGGTAAACAATTAAGCATGTAAATGCATATGACTATCTTTTCTTTTTCCTTACTTCTCACAGACATTCATGTGCTTATGTCTTTCAAACTGAATATTTACTAAATATTTGGTGATAAGTTGTCAAGCCTTCCTTTTGTATATTTGATCAGATTGTATTTGTATATATACTCGGACTGATCTGAGGTCACGTCCTTTGCTCTGATTGGTTGCAGAATAAGAGCGCCTTCCTGTGCGGCGTGATGAAGACGTACCGACAGAGAGAAAAGCAGGGCAATAAAGTGCAGGAGTCCACGAAAGGCCCAGACGAGGCCAAGATAAAGGTGCTTCTTCCCTCATCAGAAACTCAATCTCGTGATCTGTGACTGCCTGTTCTTCTCAAGCTGCTTCACTCCACTTTTGAATGTTAATACATGGACACTGCTGGTATCTGTACATTCAAATAACACAGTTTCAGGATTCCTGCTTGCTTTGAGCAATTCATTTGCATGACTCTTCCAGTCACTCCTGATTCACTGAATAATTTTACAGATATGGATCATTTTATTCAAACATAGGAGGGAAAAATTATGTTTCTCTAAAGGTGCTGGCAGTTTACATTATCAACATAACAATATATACAATACGCTGAATATACAAAAAAACCTGCTAAAATATTTGATTGATTATTAAATTAATTGTTTTTGTTAAGCATGCAAGATGTTGGATTTTTGCCGATATCTGATATTTTTCAACTCATTTTGGCCGATACCGATATATTTCCTTTAGTTTGGAAACACCACCAAGTCTCTCCTGTGTGGAAATTATAAACAAATACTTTTTAATTTTGGTTAGTTTAAGAAAAACTTATTTGTTAGAATTAAACCATAATTAAGTTATTTTATAGTGACAGTCCGGTTCCGATAATATCGTGCATCCCTAGTTTTTATATTAATTTCCGAGAATTTTCCATCTCTAGAAATCACACGTTTAAAATATTATATTATTCATCATTTAATCTGTTTTTCAGAAGAAAAACAGCTTGTTTTAGTGCTTGTGCCTATATGAGAGCACATTTCGGTCTGAAATAGTTTTGTATGAATGAAATTATTGACTAAAACAGTGATTAGCATAAAATACTTTTTTCTAGCTGACTGTCGAGTTTATGGTCACTGAATGTCTTTCCTGATGTAAATGTATCATTGTGACATTACTGATCTCAAGCTGTGTTGTTGACGTCTTTAACACTAAAAGTCAAAATGCATCATTAAAAAACTATTTAATGTATGTTTGAGTAAATCCGTCATGAAAGCAAGCTATGGCATCCACTGTGTAAAGGTTTCTACTTCAACAACAAACTGGAGTAGAAACCGAAGTGCATCATTGAAAAGTTTTCATAATAAATGTTGATGTTTTCATTATACAAGCGTATGTGCAATTTAAATATCGGTTTATAGTATAGTAGTCAAGCCACCTTTGTTAATACAGCGCCTTATACAATACAGATTGTGTCAAAGCAGCTTCACAGTGTCAACAGGAAAATAGTTTCAATAATGCAAGAAGACCATAACAGAGTAATTTTCCAGCTGAAGTCCGTTCAGTGATGATTCGTGATGTACCACCTGACGGGTTTATTGTAGTTTGCAGCATTGAGATGAATTGTCATGTACTGAACCTGAGTGCCTCTGTATCCAAATGAATGAATATCAAACTGAACTGAGATTGAATGTGTCTCAGGATCTGCTGGAGAGGACGGGATACACTCTAGACGTCACGACAGGCCAGAGGAAGTACGGCGGCCCTCCTCCAGAGGAAGTGTTTTCCGGCCCGCAGCCCGGCATCGGCACCGAGGTTTACTGTCACTCTCTCGCGGTTCTGTGAGCGCCAGCGCTGCGCGGCTGAGCTGACACCTGTGTGTGTGTGTGTGTGTGTGTGTGTGTGTGTGTGT